TTAGCGTGTTGTTTAACAATTTCTCATCAGCCAACCCTGACTTTCGGGAAACAAAAATGGCAGAATTATCAACCTGAAGATCCAACAATATAGAAAAGGAGCTGCTGCTCTTTTGAAAGATGCTACTTTAAGGTCATTGGAAAGTCCGGATTGCCTGACACGCTGGTAACCAATTTTTTGTGGCCAAGTCCCAACAGGTTTCTGGTTTAAGGGAGTTAAGTCTATGCTGAAGGCAGAGAGGGAGAGGACGTAAACACAAATCTTAAGTTTGCCATACCACAAGGCATCTCTGCCAAGGTGGCTATGTGTGTCAACATCAGGGAATCCCTCCTCTTGGGAGCCAAGAGGAATTCTCTCAAAACTAGAAGGAAAAGTTGTTGTCTAAATCAATCTAGCTTCAGAGATATTCTATTGATTAAATAAATAATTAAATAAATAATTAAAAGAAAAAGAAAACCCAATAGAACTACATTCTAATTGTACCTTGCATCTGTAAAGTGTTCCAAGTACGCAGAGCACTTTCATCCACTTCATGCTATTTGATCATCCTGAGAATCCAGTAAAGTAGGATGGATATGAAAGAATTTCATAAGCTGCTTTAGTATTATAATCACACTTATCCCTAACACATAACTCATGTCAGTGAGGTTTGGGAAGGTTAAGTTGTTTGTCCACATTATAGGTGACGAGATCTAACTAGCACTCCAGGCTTTGACTTCTGACAACGTGCTGCTAAAAAATAAATTGACAAGGGAACCAGCAATTAGCGTAATGGCTATGTCGCTGGACTCCCACGTAGTCGACCGCGGTTCGCGTCCCGGACCCGGGGGCTTGAAACTCACGCCGGGCGTGTGTGCGTACATGCCCAAGATCCCGAGAGGAGAATGGAGGAGAAGGGATTGCGGCGTGACCATCCCCCCTGGGGGGTGATTTCCTGCTTTCTGTCTCTCTGTCTCTCTGTCTGTCTGGCGAGCGTACGCGCCCTATAGTGAAAAACCTCTTCAAAAAAAAAAAAATTGACAAGAATTCATTCAAAGAGTGATAGTATCTTCAACTGGAAACAGGTTTGATGCTACAATCTTATTGAAACCTTTGCTTATGTCTTATAGGAATTTTAAGACTGATATATTAAAATGTTAGTGTGCTTTTGAATCACCTGAGGGCCTTGTTCGAAGTGGCTGTTTCTGTATCTGTTACCAGCGATCTCCATATAGTAGATCTGGGTTAGGACTTATGAATTCTCTCTCTCTCTTTTTTAAGGTTTTTGCCATAGGGCATGTGTGCTCACTGGAGAGAGCCAGAGAGGGACAGTAAGAGGGAATAGGAGAAATCACCCCTCAGGGAGGATGGCCACACCATAAACCTTTCTCCTCCTGCAATTTTGGACATGCAAGCACACATGCCCAGCATGTTTCAAGCTGTTAGGTCCGAGACTCAAACACGGTCAGCGATGTGTCCAGCGCCCTAACCACAACCCTACCTGCTGAGCCCACAAATTCTCATTTTTATAAGGACCCCAAACTATTCTAAATGCTTACCTTATTTTCTGTAGACCAAGCTCCCACTCGCCCCTATGTACCTCTACACTAATGTTGATATTCTCCTTAGTGGTGTGTAAAGAAATATTGGAGGGGTCAGATGTTTGTGCAGTGGGAATGCAACTGGACCCACACAGAAAAGGTCTGGGGTTCACATCTCAGTACGTCCTTGAGAATGCAAAGGGAAGGCATGATGGCTGAGACTTATGTAGATGGTACATGAAAACCCTGTTGGCGATGCTGTCTATCTCTGTCTCTCTTGCTCATGAAAGAAGTAAATCAACTTTAAGAAAATTGGAGTGACAAATTCTGGCTTTCTGAGAAAAATGGAACCCACCAAAACACACCATGGTTAAGCACACATGTGCCCATTTGGGATGATCCAAACATACTTCTCCCAGCCTTCAGGGGACCATAGATCCTGCTCTTAGATGCAGCAGAGGACCACCTGTGCCCTGAAAAAGAGCAACACTCTGGAAGCACTGAACTTACCACCTGGTCCTCCATGCAAAGGTGTTAACCATTGACTAATCTTGATTGGCCAAGCAGGGCCAGTGCTTGGGCTTAACAATTGTGTACAAACTGTGCAACAAAATTTACGTGTGTATGTATCTGTGGGGGAGATAAACTAGAAAGTACGCTTTGTCGGAATATTTGTTCCTTTTTAAAATTAATTAATGCGTTATCACTAAGCAATAAATAAGAAAGGAGCCCAACATGCAACATTACTAATTTTAAAAGCCTGGACACCAATGGTACGGTCTTACTCCTTCTTCTTTCTAAGTCAAGGTAAGACTTAAGAAGGCTGAGGAGTGATTGCCACTTTTTCTGAGATCTCAGAGAGGTCTGTGTGCCAACTGGTTTTCATCTCCGCCTATCTTCTAGCCAAGCTTCAGAGGAAACCCTTCTCATGTGAACTGGAAAAGATAAATTTTGAGCTTCATTGAGAGCTTTAAAACCTTAACTCCTCCTTGAAAATAACCTGACGCTCGGGAATCTTAGGTCCCAAAGAAGTGTAAAGCTTTTCCCTGGGCTTTGGAATGGCTGCATTATTAACTATGATTACTTAAGTCTCTGAGTAGAAGGGGTAATAAATCGAAAAGTATTTGTTCTGGTTTGTGACTAAGCAAAGTTGTATAATATTAAATCAGATGTTGTTATAAACATATGAAATGGTACATTTTTATTCCAACTTGGGGCATTGTGGCATGAAGCAACTAGAAAAAAAAAATATTTTTACATTCTTGGGTACCCAGTCTGGTTTCTGCTAGATTTTCTTCTTGCTGAGCATAAACACTAAATAAAAGTGCTTCTGTTTAGCTCGCTGTGTTTTCCCAGAGATTTACCAAGGCAGTAGAGGTGAGGTGTTCTTACAAGGGGACTTCAAACATTTTGTGGGAAAATTGGATTAAAATATGAGTTTATTTTAGTGGAAAAAATTGAAATCCAGGCATAGCTTTTCAAAATATTCATTTTGCTTGAATTTTTTTGAACACACTTTGTATTCTGTTGCATGCTTTCCTATGTGAAACTAGAGACTGGGCGATGAGTGTATGTGAGTACACGCAGGCATGAGTGTGTGTCTGTGGGGTGGAGAGATGAATGGCACTCTGGTATCCTGGGATGTATGGTTGGGCAAGATCTTAGATACGAGCTAGTTAACTAACTTTCTCATTACACAGGTCATGTTTCAAACTTAGATTTAAATGTGAGTGAAAGAAAACACCATAAAGATCTGGAGGTTGTAAGGAAACATTTGAAAGGGCTGTGAATTCATTCTTGACCCATCACTCCTATTCCTACCTGAGTCCTTAAGAAGGACTTTCCCCATTGTTTTGGGGGATTTTTTTAGTTTAATTATTTCTTCCATGAGTGAGAGAAACAGAGACAGAGAAGTAGCTCCCCCAATAAGATCCTGACACTGATCCATTCCATGCTCGACTCTAGCCAGCCCCAGATCATGGGCATGTGGGTGCCTGGCCTACTCAGGAAGGTCTCCAGATAAGCTAGAGTCTTCCCACGTGAATCAGTCTTGCAGAGTGCTGCATTACTGATGATACTGTTCAGTCCTATCACCCCTTCTTTTAAGGGCTCCATGAGAATGGGCACCTCTGATAAGCACTAAGCTGTCTTGGGAAGCTGTGCTGGCCATGTCGGAGGAGTGATGATGCAAATGCATGGGCACAAAACAGCTGATGTTTGACTATTCTGGATTTACCTCCCATAAGGCCCTGATTCCACTGGCCACAAATAAGGACTGACTGTGATCCTTAAAGCTACCAGAGCAGCTTCTCATGATGTCAGTCCGTGAGTCCAAGTTTCTAAGTTAATCCTCTCCCACTTCCTGCATTGCTGGAGAAATGCTGATGGGACAGGAGGGTGGTCAGGCTACAGGACGAACCTGCAACTGTCCTCGGGGCCCCAACTGGCCCTGTGAACTGACAGACAATCACAACCACTAGAAAATCACGTTTGCCTCTGGGTGAGTGGCCATGTTGGACTTTAATTCTCTACCTCAAAGGGGGATAATATAATAGGATGCACATGAGAAAAGAACTATGAGGAAATATAAACATACCAAGTGCTAAAATATAATCATAGTTTTTCTTGTGTTGAGGCTTATGTCTAATTTTCTTTTTGAGTTTTCCAAATATTTTGTTAATAATTAAAATAAATTTGGATTAAAAATAAAACTGTAACCCTGGTACTTTTGTGTACTAAATAATAACCTTTTAAAATGATGAGTTAGAATATTAATGGCATCCTACAAAGTATTCAGAGCTGTACTGCCTAGCACTGTAGCCATGGACCATGTGTAGCCGTTGAGCATTGGAAACATAGCTAGTTCATCCTGAGGTGATTAATGTGCATAAAATACAAGCTTTGAAGATGTGGTGCAAATGAGAGAGTATGATTTTTGTGTGATTAGATGTTGAAATGATACTAGGTTTGAATAGATTGGCTCAAATAAGTTATTAAAATTAATTCCATCTGTTTCTTTTTACCTTTTAAAAAATATTTATTTATTTATTTTTGTAGAGAGATTTTTGCTATAGGGTGTGTGCACTCACCAGAGTGAGACAGAGAGACAGAAAGTGAGAAATCACCCTCCAAGGGGGATGACCACACAACAATCTCTTGTCCATTCTCCTCTCAGGATTTTGGGCATGCACACACACGTGCCCAACCTGAGTTTAAGCTGCTGGGTCTGGGGCTCGAACCACAGTTGACCACATGAGAGTCCAGCAATGTAACCACTATGCCATCTGCTAGTATCTCTTTTTACCTGTTAATGTGGTTACTAGAATGTGTTAAATTATGAGAAGATTTTGAAAGCTTATGGAAAATGGAATTAAGGTATGAGTTTATTTTGTTACAACCTTTTTGAAATCCACACATCATTTTTTCATAATGCACATTTCCCATGAACTCTTTGAAGACCCCTCCCTTGTGTGTATGTAGGTGTTATGTAAAGTAAAGATGGTTAGTACTCCCCTTGACAGGATGGAAGTGGCCCTCAAGTCTCTACAACATACATATCATTAGGCATTGCCACCTGCTTCACAGCATCTAGCCTTCATTTTGATCATTGAAAGTGTCTGTGCCATGGGTGCCACATTTCCCTTTACAGTGATGAAAATATTCTGGAACTAGATAAGTGTTATTTATTGCACAATATTGTGACTGTGCTAAATGTCGCTAGTGGTAAATTTTGTATTAGGTGTATTTTACCACAAGAAAAAAATTACTTGTGTGTCCCATCATGCTTGTATGGTGCAATTTTTGTTTAAAGTAAGTAGGTAGAGAGTGTGGCTGTGCTTAGTATCTCTAGGAATGGAGGGAAGTGGGAAGGGACAGAGATGGCCGAAGACTGCTAGAAGAGGTTGGAGCTCCCTCTGTCCCTCTGGCAAAAACATTAACATGTGTTTAAGTTTCCTGCTGTTGGAGGCCTTGTCCTCACAGCTCCTGTCTCTTTACAATGCCCTTACATTGCTTATCAGAGTCCACTCTTCCTCCACACTTGGCATTCTGCCCACTGCTATGTATCCCACTGAGATAATTCTATTACTAAAATTCCTCACCGGTTATGTATTAGTAAGGAGTTAAGGATCTTAACTGTCATAGTATTAGTATTCAGACCACCTGGATGAGGTTCAACAAGTGTGCCCTGAAGCAGATATTGCTGATGAAGAAAAATTGAAGTCTTTTCTGTGCGTCCCTGGAGTCTAGAATCTTAGAAGTAAACCCCATGAGGCAAAATTGATCTATATGGAGTTAGAAGTCAGGACAGTGGTTTCCCTGGGGGGGCGGGGGGGGAGTGACTGAGTTAGGGAATAGGAAAGGGGCTCTGGATGTGGGGAAAATTCTGTTACTGATCCAGGTGTTGATTACTGAGTGTCCATTCTGTGAAAACTTGTTGAGCTTGTGACTTGTGTACTTTTCTGAATGTGTGTTAGACATTAACAAGAAGTTCAGGGAACCAGCAGTTAGCGTAATGGCTATGTTGCTGGACTCCCATGTAGCTGACCACGGTTCGCGTCCCGGACCCGGTGGCTTAAAACTCACACCAGGCGCATGTGCGTGCGTGCCCAAGATCCCGAGAGGAGAATGGAGGAGAAGGGATTGCAGCATGACCATCCCCCCTGGGGGTGATTTCTCGCTTTCTGTCTCTATGTCTCTCTCTGTCTGGCGAGCACACGTGCCCTATAGCGAAAAAAAACCTCTCTAAAAAAAAAAAAAAAGAAGTTCAAAAGCATGGGCCAGGTGGTGGCACAGTGGCAACACAACAGGGCCCAGATGGAAAAGGTAGTGGTTCCTATCCTGGGACCTCCCTGGGTACACTGGTGCACACGCATGTGTGCCTGTGATCTGGGCTGGCTATGACAAGTGGATTGCATACGCGGACCCTGTTGGGGGGGCCTGTCTCTCTCTCACATAATCCCTCTCTCTGTCACCCTCTCTCATGGAAGAGTTAAATACCAAAACTTTTTTAAAAAAAGAAATGGGACACATCACCACATCACCCTCTGAGGTACATAGTTTTTATTTTATTTTATTTTTTATTTTTTTGCCATGGGGCACATGCGCTCGCCAGAAAGACAGAGAGAGACAGAGGGACAGAAAGCGAGAAATCACCCCCCCAGGGGGGATGGCCATGCCGCAATCCCTTCTCCTCCGTTCTCCTCTCGGGATCTTGGGCACGCATGCACACGCGAGTTTAAGCCACCGGGTCTGGGACTTGAACTGTGGTCGACTACATGGGAGTCCAGCAACATAGCCATTATGCTAACTGCTGGTCTCAGGTACGTAGCTTTTGAGTGAAACACTAACATTCTTAAAGTGACTAAATGCAGTGGTGTGGGGATGTGTTCTGTGAGAGTGGCTGCCACAGGGCTCTCTCTATCTCTCTCCTTCCTGTGGAGATCTAGACTGACAAGGTCTGCCAAAGAAACCTGAGGAGGTGACGGTGAGGTTCTTCCCCACCGTCCTCAGGCTAGAGCTTGGCAATGAGTGACCTGCTCAGAACCTCACCTCAGTGCTTCTTGTATCTCTTGGCTCTCCATCTAGGACACCCACACCTGGAGACCAGAGCAGAGCACATCTGATTTTTCATACTTTTAATTTAAGTCTTAAACCATACAGTGTTCAGGGAGGGAGGGATATGAGACTGAGGTGCTACTTACTGAGAGAAGCTGGTATTGGGTAAAGGTAAAACACTTGTGTGTGTGGGGAGTCACATTCTTGGGAGAAATTAGCAACCTTGCCTTGCTGTCAATGACACTCTATTACAAGGAGAGGAGGGACAGCTCGAGCGAACAGGCCCTGCCATTATCACCTGCGGAAATCCTGTGTGGTGGTAAATACAGTCATCAGCAAGGCCTGGAGGAGAGATTACTGGGAGCAGCGAAGGGCCGAAGGGCCGAGAGTGCTAATGGGGGAGGTTATGAGGCAGATAGTGGCCGGGAAACCAGAGACCTGGGGGAGTTGGCTTGGAGGAGCATAAGCGGAAACAGGCGAAGAAAAATAAATAAATGAGATAAGCAACTTCATTTGCTTCCTTACTTATTATCCTTTTGTTTTGTGTCCAGGACGCTGGTCTCCTCTGAGACCTGCTCTTCTGGGGACAATGACCTGGAGGCTGATTTTGAAAACCAGGCCCAGCTTCTACTCTTTCTCCTATATCCACACACCTGGTATATTCCCCAACTCAGAGAACTTCCATGACTTCTGGACTCACTTCCCAAAGATGAACCTCGGCAAGGTTTCCACCAGCACAGACCCCTGCCTCCACCTCTCCAAGTGTACAGGGCATAAGACAACACGTCCAGCTGCAACCCCCATCCCCAGCCACCCATGCCGTTGGGGTCACAGTGGGCTAGCTGTGTCCACAAACTTAGTCGCAATGTGGTTGGCAGGTGGAGAGCTTTCCCTTTCCTTAGATCACAACTGGAAATGACCAGGGTGACGCCATGCTAATGTGCTTATGCCTGACAGAGGTGATATTCCAGGCTCCAACACTGACATCAACTGATGACTTCAAACCCCATGGTTTGGGTGAGAGGGGGCAGAGAAAGCAGCCTGCCCACACCCAGCTCTGGCTGCCCGTGTGATTGTGGGCAAGTTTCCCATCTTTGTGTAGTTCATTCGACCATCCATAAAGTAGGTATGATAATAATGCCTACCTTTAATGTTATAAGGCTCTTCTAGAAAATGGCAAAGTGCTTAAATATTAGTTATTCGACATGGCTTGTTGGTCATTGTACGATGTCAATTGTCCCAGTAAGTCAAAGAACTCCAGTTTGAGAATGGTTTACTTTTATTTCCGAGCATCTTCAAGGGTGATTTAATTATTACCATGATGGAATCAATTAACCCTGCCATTTGCCTAGAGCTTATGCAATAGAGTTATCTAAGAGACAGATAAAAATCACATTATGCAATTCTGAACACCTGTCCTTGGGATGGTCCTTTGGGTCTCCCATTTGAAATCACTTTCTTCTGCCTGTGGGGCATTTCTATCTTGCTCAGCCATTCATCCATGCCAGAGAGGGGAATGGTGCACTGGACTTATGTCTTCCAAGTTGTCAACACCTTCAGTGGTTATATCTGCATTGCTTGTTTAAGCCCAGACCAATGAGTCCTCTCTCTACTAGACCTGCCTATTCAAGCACATGCCTCAGTGCAAAGATGTGATGTTTCAGGCTAGTGGAGCAAAGGAGAAGAGACTTGGTGAAAGCCTCTTTACTGCTTAGTTGCCTTCTGAATGGTCTCTCTAAAGATGGTGAGATTTTAGAGGTAGGGATGATAGTAACACCTTGAAGCCACTCACTACATTTTTATTGAGCGCTTTCTGTGTATCACTATGTTAGCCATGAGCAAAACAGACACAGGCATTGCTGTCATTGGTGCAGCTTACCATTCAGTGAGGAGACCTGGCATTAGACAACAAATGACATAAATAATTAATTACAAGCATAGTGAGTGGTATAAAGGAGATTAATTACAAGCAAAGTGAATGGTACATAGTGAGTGGTGCAGGGTGCCAAGGGAACATTTTAGCTGAGCCCTGAAGAGTGTGGTGGTAGTTGGGATCAGAAGTAAGAAAAGGCATTCCAAGCAAAGAAAACAGCATATATAGATACCCTACATGGGAAAGCGCATAGTGTCAAGCATAGTCCACCTACCCTTGATCCAGGCCTACCTTCTCATCCCCAATCCCATCCTCTGGAACTCTGAAGATAGAATTGCTTGACTGACTTAATATGTTAGGCTGTGCCTAATTATGAAACCAGCCCAGCACATTTTCTTATACTTATCAAACATGACTATTCTTTTTTGCTTCCCTCTCCCTATCCTAAAAGTGAAACTCTAAGAAAACACACACCCTCCCAGAGTTTATTATAGTTATTATGACTCAGACAGACTTGAAGACTAGAATTTAATGGAGGTTTCTTAACATTCCTTGGGGACTTGAAGTAGTTTTTTCCCACCAGCCATAGAAGTAGAATTATAAAAATACATTATTGGGGCTGGCAGGTGGTATGGTGGTTAAGGGCACTAGACTCCCACATGACTGACCATGGTTCAAGTTCTGGACCTGGTGACTTGCTTTCTCACTCTCTCTCACTCACTCTGTCCCTCTCTAGTCAAATTAAAAATTATTAAATAAATTAATTAAATTAAATAATTCTTTAAAAATTTAAATTAAAACATGTTCTTTCTTAAAATAAAGAAGAAACTCCCTGAATCCGAAGTTCTGTTTTTTTTTTTTTTTTTTTGGAGAGGTTTTTGCTATAGGGCGCGTGCGCTTGCCAGACAGACACAGAGACAGAAAGCGAGAAATCACCCCCCAGGGGGGATGTTCACACCTCAATCCCTTTTCCTCCATTCTCCTCTCGGGATCTTGGGCACACACGCACACACGCCCGGCGTGAGTTTTAAGCCACCGGGCCCAGGACGCAAACCACGGTCGACTACGTGGGAGTCCAGTGACATAGCCATTACGCTAACTGCTGGTTCCCAGTTCTGATTATTCTAAAAGCAGAGCATTCGCTCCACATTTTCATATTGTCTCCCCACACCTGCTTTTTCTCCTCCCTCTTTCTCCTTTCCTTTATTATTCTGGTACAGTAATAGGTGAAATAGAGAAAAGGAGTTGGTTTTAGTTTTTGCTCTGGATCTTGGTGGGTGACTTTAGCCAAGGCACTTCCCCTCTACTGGCCTCAGTTTCTTCAAAAGTAGAAGGAGATGTTGGATCAGGGAACTTGGGTTTTCTAGTAGCTCAAACACGCTCTAGTTCTTCTGGGCAAAATCTCAACACATAACACTATTCAGCTCCTTTAAGTCCCATATAAAAAGCCAAGGTTGATTAGAAATCTCTTTTCTTAGGAAAGAAACTAGAGAAAAGGCCTTCTTCATTCTTCGAGATCTTGGTAGGAGCAAATCTGGGTTATCAGTAAAGGATCTCTTCTCTACACCAGCCTCCCTCACCCCAGCTTGACTCAATCCTGCATTCACCCACACTACACATCAATAGGCTCTTCAAACTCCAGAAATCTGTCCTTAGTTTTCCCAGGAAT